TGGGCTTTCACAAGTTTGTTGATCATATTCTCTATTACTAGATTGTGCCACCATGGCAAGTCCTTATTTTGATGATTGCCAGAAGCTCTTCATCACTCCGCCAAAAGCTTCCTCTTATGTCAATCCACTTTATGATGAGAAGGCAACAACTGACAGTAAGTCTATCAAATCACTTGCTGAAAGGATAGTTGATTTTGTTGAGGAATCTAACAGGCTTCATGAGGAACGCCTGAGGAGGATGGAGGAAAATTTGAAAGTATGCAAATTAAATCTTCCAGAACTTAAAACCCCTCAACCCAAAAGTGAGGTGTTAATGGAGGATTCAAAGAAGTGCCATGCAACCGCGTCTCCAGGAACTTTGAAGCAGTTTTGCAAATCACAAAACGTGACAGAGATGCCAATTGTAAATGAAGGTCAGACGATACTAAGGTCAAAGAGTAACCCCATGATCACAGTCGGGGGGCATGAATCACAATTGCAGCGCGCTGTCCAAAGTCAGCAACGCCATGCAGCTTTGGAGGCGACTTCAACAAGTATGCCTCCAAGTCATTCTAAGTCTGCAAAAACTAATACTAGCAATAGTCCTCTTACTCCTGGGAGGCATAAACCAACTCAGGTGCAGATATGTCAGCCATCGATCAATGAAGGTCCATCTGATGGCCGACAAAAAGTTGATGCTGCTACACAAAAGCCAACACTTTGGCCAGCATCAATACATAAATCTGATAAAGTATCTACCTCATCTATTTCTACTTCTTTTGAGACTAATGAGCATATTTCTTCAGCCTTGCTTAAGAAGTGTTCGCGGCGACCATGCTTTCTTGATGGTCGAAGCCCTTCCAAGTTCAATTATGGACAATGGCTGAAAGTGAAATATCCTTTTAAAGTCGTTAGTCTGAAGAGGGGAGTCATTTCCAATCTCGGGGGGCAACCTAGTCAGATTGAACAACAAAGGTTGCAAGACCTGATTGCCAATGAAGTTCACAAAGCTATAGAAAAAAAGGTAGCAAGGTTTGTGCCATTGCAGCCTGATGCCAATTCAAGCATCCAATCAATGCCGCCACAGCAAAAGCATGTGTGCAAGCCTAGTCCACCTCAACAGTTTGCAGACTCATTGCCCAAGGCCACTCAGGAGGCATACAGGCCACCATGTTGTCCAACATGCCGTAGGCCATATTCAAAAAATAATGATTCTTTCCAAAGTGGCTTTCACAAGAAATTCTCAGATTTTCCTTGCAGCCACAAGGATAACATGGGAGGCGACATAAGAAACACCATGCCTTCGCATCTACCAAGTCGAAGAAAGAGGAAGAAATCTAAAGACCTCTGTTGGACACCAATGAAGGAACAAAAGCAACAAACCCATGTCTCTGAATGGAGGCACGGGGGGCATGATCTCGTAGAAAAGCATGGAGGCATGTGCAAATGCTGCCTCTATAAACAAAGTCAATTTAGACATTGTCGCCATATAAACTTGGTGGCCTGCCAAGAGTTCCCTACCCAAAATCCTAGGACTCTTCGAAGGCGGCTTCAAAAGAAAAGAGCTAAAGAGTGTCGGAGACATGTTGCCGAGGTGCATGCTTCCCAATGGCAACAACCTCCGGGGAAGCAAAGGTTTATCTGGGTGGAGAAGAAGAAACACAGTGCAGCTTCTCAAGAGGCAAATCAAAATTTAGTCAATGCAATTGTGTCTCCAAAGATGTCTGCCAAGTGTGTTCCTTTTAAGTCAAATGACTCAAAGGCCGCTAAGGAGCTTAATGTCAGCAGCAAAACAATTAGCCTTGGTGAGTTTATTACTGAACTTCCAAGTTCCAATCCAAATCTCCCTTTTGTTTTCAC